AAAAGAAAGACAGGGTATTTGAAATAAAAATGTTTTATATTAAGCATGCATATTAAATTTAACCACTTAGAATGGCACAGATATTTATAAAAGATTTAAAAACAAACCTCAAAACTATGTAATGAAAACCCAAGTTTAGCTTAGATAAGGAAAATCACACAATGTACATATCACATAGGATATTTAAAACTAGATGAAATAAATGTCATATTTCATGAAATGCTTTTACTCTATCTCCTGTGTAAAAATTCAAAGACATATGCTCATATATAATGCACATTTTGCAAAAATATGTGTCTTGCACAATAGGAAACAGATATCTATACTACTGTTGTGTTGCACTTACAAAGTTTAAAGTTCTCCTTTGAGGGTAAAAATAGATTTTTTTAAAGTTTCATATCAAATTGGGAGTAAACTTGAATTTTCACATGAAATTTCTCTCATTTAATTTATTCTTTGTAGTTTTATATATGAATGGTGATGAAAAGTAATAACACTAACTTTTTATTCCTAACAGTATTTGTAATTACCACACTAGGACTTACATAAAATCCATTTTGTTTGCCTTATGACATAAAAAATTATTTCTCTGTATATCAGTTGAAGGCCTATATTGTGGTCCAAGATGATAAGTAGAAAAAGATAGACATATTTTACATCACTGATAAAGTATTTCAATAAAAAGTAAATAAGTGTTTTCACTTATTATGTGCTTCATATATTTCTCCACCACCACTGCAGGTCTTTATACTGCTTTCCATATCATCATTCTCACTTCCTTCCAAGGCTATCACTTGATTTCTTCAACAGTCTTTTTGAAGCTATTTAGGAATATAAGAATTCTTGGTCACCTTTGGAAATTAATTTTACTTTAACCCAGTGTCTATTTCCATGTTATTTAACTTTTTCAAAAGTGCCCTCTAATCTTTATCATCTATTGAAGGTTTGCCACACTTTTCAGAATAAGTGAGTATGCATATATTATTTCATGAAGGAGGGAGAGAAGAGAGAAGGAGGGGAGGAAGGGAGAGAGGGGAGGCTAACCTATAGATGAGGAGAAAAAAATAAAGAATTTTATTATTCATTTCAAACCTATATAAATACAGTAAAACCTTGGATTGCAAGTAACTTGGTTTGTGAATGTTAACGCAAGCCAAGCTAACATTTCTAATACATTTTAATGTGGTAAACGAGTGATGTCTTGCAATATGAGTAGTTGGTTTCCGGAACAAATTATGCTCGTAAACCAAGGTATTACTGAGAGAAAAGGCACAGTTCATATTCAAGACAATTGGTGAAGGTTTAGAAGGCCCCAAACACATGTAATCTAGAAACTTTCAATATTAAAGTCCTCTAAACTTTAATATTTAAGGGACAAAAAGAAAGACTAAACAATGTTTTCTTTAAATCTGGCTTGGCTTTTCTTTTTTATGCTGTCAAGTTTCAAGAATGTATTTAGACATTTTTCACCCAAGAGGAGAGGAGGGATTTGCTTCTATGACCTTCACTTCAGGGAAGGTCAGTTGGACTATGGTTTCCTAAGACGAACGTGTTTAGTTTGAGAGAGACCAAGGCAAAGACATTCTTGGACAAACAAATTATCTGCCCAGTGTGTCAGTGACTGATTGGAATACATAAATAGAAATTTGGTTTTGAAAACCACAAAATAAAAATCAAATGGGAATTGTTACAAATTCTGAAAAAAAAATTAAATGAAAACACTATTTTGATGCCGCTTCAGAAATCTTTTGTATTACTTCTCTTTTGTCACCAAAAGAATATTCAGCACAACTTTTAGATGCTAAGGGGAAAAAAAATGCATACTTCTACTAGCATTTTCCTTTTCACTCTTGCTAGAAGGACACAGACTCTCATATCATGCACAATTAAAAATTAAAAATTCTGAAAGGAAGGGAAATGGAGGGAGTAATTTGAATGATTATGTTTCCCCAGTGCCTCTGTAAGCTTCCTTATTTTTCCAAGCTGGGTTTAGCATTGTTCCTGAATCAACAAAAATATTGCTTTACACTTTGCTTTTTATAACATCATTATTGAACAATGTGACAAGAATATATCTGCAGAGGAACAGGATCTACAATTTTCAAAATCCAAGGTGCTAGAGTTTTTGAACCCTTATTATATACCCTGAGGATACTTAAATTAATGTTTGTTGGCTGATGATGTTTGATTATGAATAATTATCAAGGATGTTTGACTTTTTAAATTGTACAGGTTCAGAAATTCAAAATACTTTATTGGGGCTCTAGGAATACTCAAATTTGGTTACATTTTCTTATTCACAGTCATTTCTTTGAATTCATCAGTAACCTGTTCTGTATGTTTTGTTGTTGCTTATGTATATCCAAGCAGTAATATAGGCCTATTTTATAACGCTGTTTATCCTTAAAGCGAGGATGGCTCCTTTTTTTTTTTTTTTTCCTTCTGGGATGCCAAGGATGAATATGGAGCTGACTGTTGCAACACCAAGTTGAACTAAAATAAAAGGCTTGGAGATCATTGCTGTCAAACTTTTCAATCTGTTTTCTCCACTTTTTTGTTATTTGTACTGCAAGTACAAGCAAAGAACTGATGCAGTGTCTAGATGTTTTAGAGCAAATAACCACTTCCAGATGAAAGCAATAATGAATGCAAAATGCGTCCTTTAATTATATCTTAAATTATGCACATTGTTTAGCTATTGTGGATCTACAGGTAGTTTCTATTTTGGGGGGGGGTGAGGCTGTGGGGTGGGAGTTCAGTTACTTTTTGAAAAACAGTATCCAAAAGAGGATCAGAAAGAGGATCACTGCCATAGGTACATTGGATGGACCTGCACGTGGAACTGATGAACATGAAAACAAAATAACAAAACATAGTGATACTTTTCATCTCCACTCCATGGCAAGTGGTAACCTGAGGAGATTGGGACACTCAGCAAGAGGTCACATGTATATTAGAGGTGAAGCGAGCACTTGAACATCTGTCCACTTTGTGGCAAGACTTTTCCTCTCAGAATACATGTACTAATAAACAACAGTTGGAGAAAATTGTCTGTGACATTCCACATAAAGCTGAGCCGAGGCTGAGAGAAGGAAGGGTGGAATTGTATTTCCTTTTGTAAAGCGAAAACAGCCATAAGTGCAGCCTCTTTTAAAATCTGGTATTTAAAGAGAAGTGTAAGAAATCCAATTGTTCAATTTGGAACGAAGGTTGGCCGAAGTAACTGGAAAGCCCATGCTTCTGAGTCTGCAAAATCACTGGCCAGGAAAGCAAAACTTTTCCAACACCCTATTTTAATCTTGTGCTAAAGCCATTGCCTCTGTTCAAACCCTGGAGCTAAATATGATCCTTCCCCACCCCCGGCCCTTTCCCTCTTAGGTTAGTGTTTGGGGGACCAAGAGGGGGCTGGAGCTTGGCCCCAATTTCGGAATTGCTGCCAAGGGCTTGTAATACAATCTCTCCCCGTTTGAAGGGTAAATCAGTGTCAATTGTGTTTGCCGTCCACCAGAAAAAGTAAGCATTTTACTTCCGCTCGGTCTATGTGGACTGATGAAATGTAGGAAATCTGTTTCTGGCAGGGGGGAAAAATCGTTTTCCCAAACAGCACCGAGAGGAGCCATCACAGAAGTATGAAGAGGGGCAGGGCGGCTGGAGGTGCTGCCTCTGCCGCCAGGCTGGTGGGGTGCGCAGAGCGGCTGCTGCAGGCCCTGCGCCGGGAGGGGGCCGGCCCCGAGACGCTGCAGGAGCGGAGCCCCGAGCCCCGGAGCCTCTGAGAGCCGTCAGCAGCCAGCTCCGGACGCGGGGGTGAGCGAGGCGGGCTGCCGCAGCCCTCCGCCAACGCTGCCGCAGCGCGCGCTCTGCAGCGCGGGGCTTGCGGGAGCCGGTGCCTGTGGGTTCACGGGTGGCAGCGGGACAGCGGGGAGGTCTTCAGAACGAACCCCGGGGACTTGGCTGGGAAGCGGGAAGAGCTGTGGACGGCTGGACCGGCTCTGGCGATGAGTGGGTGGGTGATCACTGCAGTGGGTGACTCTCATTCCCTGGAAACAGCCATGCGTTCCTCATCCCTATTGTGCAACAGCCCAAGTGACCGCCGCGCGAAAAGCCCGCTGGGGCGGCTCAGCCAACCAGGGACAGAAGTGAGGATTTCTAATTAGCACATCGATTGTAAATGCACACTTACGCATTCGTGCACAAGGGTCTGTGTAAAGCATGCTCAGCGTTGCCTGTTAGTGGGAAGAGGGGAGGGGAGCGGGGATGGTCTTAATGGATTCATTCTGAATGGTTTGCTTGAGTTAAGGAGGCCAGGCTGGGAGGAAAACGCGTGACATATGTGATTTGGGTTGATACTGTGTTTTCGATTGATGAGTTTGACTGAGTGGAGCTTTTTAAAAGGAAAAAACAAAACAAAACAAAAAACAACGCTAGCCTGTGAGTCAACCCCCTTTGGGAAGACTTTGCATAGCATTGTTCTTTTAGTCTAAAGAGCAGGGTTTTGGAATCTGAAATTGTTTGGAGGAATCAGAGGAGCCAACTTTGTTGTGCAGGCATTAATTATTCTGGCAAAATTAAATTTTGTCCGCCCAGGAAGGTAAATTGCCTTTAACCCAGCCCAGGCACCCGAAGTTTATCCTGTCTGGAATGGAGAGGGAGCAAAAGCGGGGGTTCACGTTCTATTTTCAACACTCCAGTACCGCTGGGGGTGGGGTGGGTGGTTATTCAGTACTTTCCTCCTGCTGACCTTTTGGAAGTCAAAATCTTTCCTCTCCCCACCGTCTTCATTTTTTCCTCCTCTCACCTCCACCTTCGTCTTCATCCTCTTACAGTCAAGATTTGAAAAACTTTTCTGCCCCTCTTGGAAATTCTGCCCTCTCCCCAAGAACCCCCTCCAACAAAGCTAGATCAATTGTGTATGGGAGATCTTATGCAGAGGAAATCAGATCCACGTTTGCACAGGAACACCCATTTGGCCTCCTAGTGTTAAAATAAAGGCTTGGACAGGTCGGATGTGCCAGCCAGGCAGAGGAAGTCCACCTTTCCTCCCCACCTATCCCCTGAGATTCACAGAGGCAAGGCGGAGAAAAAGCCCTTGTGCTCCTTGCTGCTTTCCCCCAACCCCTTAGTAGTGTGGACACTGATTAACTACAGCTGGGATCTAGCGTGCCCCGCCTGTCTTTGAAATCGATCAATGAGTTCCTTCTCGAGGAATGCTCCCCGTTAACTGTGGAGGAGGAGGTGGTGGCTGTGGTGGTCCTCTCCAACATGGGCGTTCTGGTTCTGACTGCCTAAGAGAAGGTAAGGGACAGATGGCTGAGGCATGGGGCAGACAGCCTTTGCAATACAGGTTGCAGTCTTCACACATGGCTGCCTGAGTGGGCTCTGAAACAGAAAGGTAGTTTGGATTTCAGCCGCTGTGCTACTAAACTTTGAGCTTCTTTACTTTATGGCTAAACACCATACTTTTGTGCTGTGGACTATGCTTTGTTGGGAAATAAATTCACATGGCAAAATTTATTTTACCTGGTGCAAAAGGTCATGTAATTGCCACAGAGTTTTCTAGTATCTTGGTCAGAAATCTTAGTGAAACCTTGCAGGGATGGTGAAATGTCAGGTCTTCTATTAATCCTAAGTATATTATGTGTGATTTGAGAGTTTTGCTGCAAGTGCATGATAGCTGTTTTTGGAGCCTTTGGTTGGAACCAGATAGGGAGACCCTAACAATTTGTTTGCAGAGGGAGTTTGGTTAAAATTGGAGCTGATATTAAGGCTATTTTGGGATCTTTGTGGTTTTTGATATGGAGGCACAAACAGGATTTCACTGTTTCATTTCTCCTGAGCAACTATCAAGATTTTCCACTCAATGTCTTTTGACTAGAGAAAATAGCTGGAGTGATCTATTCTACCTCTTGTCAAACATCTCTTGTCAAAATGAGTAAGTTGCTTGCATAATGTTTTCATCCTAAATGTTTTCAGAGTTAATTTAAGTGTTTGCTAATGGCCTTCCCTTACATGAGACAGATCTATCTACTGAGAGTAGAACTCTGATAACTCTCGACTGCATTCCAGTTAAGTAAAACAGAAATCTTTGTATTACAAACAACACACACACAGAACAAAATCTTCTCATGAAGTAAGGTTTACTTAATCAACTTAAATGAAATTGTGATGTAAGTTCTTAAGTATTCTAATTGATTTATGAATTTCAGGTGGTTTTTCTATTCAAGCTATGTTTCAAGTTAATCTGGTAGAGGTCCAAAAACCTGTACTAAATTGTTGGGAAGAATGGCCTAGTAGAATTTTAAAAAAGAAAGAAACAAAGAAAAAAATCGCTAATGCTGTGAAAATAGAAGAAATCAATTTCCACTCAGTCTTAATTTTTGGGTCATGATTTAAGAAAGAATTATTATTGAAGCTTTAGCACTATTTGGTTCAAGACAAGTCATCATGGCTCCCAGATAAGAAAGATTCTCTGCAGAGACTTAGCATTACCTGAGATTGGGCACAAGGACAGCTGAGTAACACACTTGTAATGACTGCGGCTTTGGGCAAAATATTTTAGGCCTCCAATGATGTATTAAGAACCGAGACTTTGACTAGGTAAATCTTCTAGTGTCCATTGGCGTTTAAGGGCTTTATCACATAATTAGGAATACTAGTAATGAGTGTTGCTTTTCTGTTATGCTTGGTGCTTTTTAAATTTGTGGACAAGTTGCTCCCCTTAGCCAGAAGTGGAGGACTATTTACAAGATCAAGAATTATGTTTGTGATTAAATTTTGAACTTCAATTTTCTGATTAGACCCTTAGGTTAAGTAAGATTTTGAATTCATGGCATTGGTTGAGAATCTGTAGCCTTGTGAAATATTATTGGTTGAGAATATGTAGTATTGCAGAGATACTATTGCTTAGCCAAAATGAATCATAGGAGGAAAGAACTTAGAACAGTTGAAGCGCCATCCCTCGTTGTTGATTGAAAGATAGAATTCGGGCCTAGCTTGAAAGATAGAATGTCTCCCTTCCAGGATTTAAAAAAAAATTTTAAATTATATTTATTGAGGTGATAATGGTTAGCTAAATTACATAGGTTTTAAGTGTACAACTCTGTAATACATCATCTATATAGCCTTCCAGATTTTGGAAGGGTATTTGGCTTGGGGTATTTTTTGCTTGTTTGTTTGTTTGTTTGTTGTAAATTTTAAAAGTGTTACTGGTCTATTAACTTTATTTCTTCATTGCGTTACACCCATAACACACAAAACTGACTAGACAGAGGTGAGATCAGTGCTGCAGATGAGAACAGAGGTGGCCTTCAGGGATGGGGAGCCTTCACTGTGAGTTCATTAGCATGCTTTGTTTTAAATGGCCACAGTTGAGGAGTCGGTGTGTGTGGTGAGGGGGGAAGGCATGTAGTGATGGCCTCTCACATTTATTTTGAGAGGTGTAGCATTTCCCTATGTTAATAGCTTAGGATCTTTAACTGGTGTCACAAGTGAAGTATAGTTTACCAAATTTTGTTTTTAAAAACACATGTAATCTCATTCTAGAGATCAATATTTCGTGCATCATACTGAGGGTTTCACATCTCTCAATATCTTTGGATTTTCCACTATTTATGGTTTTATGTCATCAATACTTTGATTTCATTTCTGTTCCTTATCCTTTGTCTTTTCTTAATTATTTAGAGTTCCTCAAAATAGCCCTATTTTGTTGCAGAATTGCTTTTCTTGTTAAAAGAAATTAAAAGAAGTTCTTTGTCAGCACTCCTCTGATGATAATTTATTTTATGCAAGTGTTGATTATGATAACATAAGTAGCAACAAACACCGAAACAATTTTTTATTCTTGATTATATTATTTGAATTGTCTTCCTTCATTCAACATAAAGAACTCATCAGGAAAAAGGAAAAGTCGTCAAAGAAGAATACTAGTGCTGTCAATCAGATAAGAATAATAGTAGCAGCAGGATGCGCCTGCAGTACTGATGACAGTTCTTATAATCTATCTATTAATCAGGTTTCTCAGTGGAATCTCATAGCAGACAATAGTGAAATCATGTTTATCATTTTTTTCTTATTTTTCTTTGTTTCCAATTGATTTTCTATGTAATATTGCAATGTAGTTTGTTTTTTTTAATAAAATGTCAGCAAAGTCTAGAGACAGACCAGAAACCATCTTGGTCATCACCTCCAGTGGTGTGAAACAATCCTTTATCTTCAGAGTCAAAACCATGAGGACTTCAACTGGGACTCTGGAGCAACAGACTAAACAGAGTCTTTAAACATGTGATATTTTACTTACGGAGTCATTAATTTTTTTTCTTCTTCCCCTGGGCTAGTTCATGTCTCATCATATTCATAATGGTTATTCCAGAATCACTTCTATGGAAAGAAAGAAAAAAAATCCACACATTCTTTGAAGAATTCTGTATTAAGTTTCTGCATGTTTTTCCCTTTAAGTTTTATTTTTCTGAATTCTAAATCCTGAGGGTTGAGTTATCCACTTTTAGGTAGACCCATAAAGCTTGGTGAGGCCATGCTTTAGAGGAGTCATAGAAGCAACTGAGTCCTCACTCCTTTTTCCAAAGTGATTGGCTTTGTTTTGTACTTACCAAAGTTACTTATCAAGCTTTTTAAATATTTAGATTATATGAATTTTAACATTTTTCAGCGCTGAAATACATTATATACAAAAAAAGTTTTTCCTTCTCCCAAACTTTAACTTTTTTCTTCAAGACTAGTGGATCCTTAATCATTTCATTTTCATCTTTAAAAGCTACCTCTCCCCCCAGCATCTCTTGTGGTTTTTGAAAACTTTTGAATAAATTCAAAAGATCAGAAATGATCTTTTTGATAGAGTTTGTTCTTTGTGATTTAATTCAACTCATCCACATTGATTAAACATTTGTTGAAAATTATAAAAAGGTTACAATCCTGTAGTGATCCTTTTATCTCAGTAATATAAATTTATTTGATGTTTGTTTACCTCAATTTAATTATTTCAGTGGGAAACTACTTTACCATGAAATGATTCTTCCACACTCCCAATTTTGATCCTGCTAGCTGGGTTCATTTCCATGTCTCTTATTCATGCCTCTGCCATGTCTAAATCCAAGACCTCCATGTATTGACTTTCAGCTAAACCACAGATGGTGATGTAAAATATGAAAAAAGGATCAGGAGAATTTGGATTGAAATTCTAATTTCTTTTCAGAAGGGACTTAGTGAAGTCCCGTGCATGACTGCAACTTTAAGTGTCAACATAGCTGGCATATGTTTAATTGTTTACTTTCTATTGAATGCTAATTACCCACTAAGCCTTCTTTCTCCCACTTTTGCCTCCTGAGAAAATATAACTCTATTTTTTCCCCGTTTGTAGATAATTTTAATTATATACAAGCAACACAACAAAAATTGCTTAGCTACTATTACTGCTTTTACTTAATGATCATCTATAAATATTAGGAGATAGTTTGAATTACATTTCTGGCAAAATACAGGACAGACTACATGAGAAATAAATGTGCCACTGTCAAAGAAAATAAAAACTTCACTGTTTAGAAGTATTGAGGGGAAGGATTGTGTCCCTCTGGCTCATTGAAACTGTTACATGCCATTGGGCTTACTGTAAACTATCCGTTGATGAATTCTTTGCTAGACAATGAGCTTAAGAATCTGAGGTGTCTTCTTGCTTTTACAGAGCAGAATAGGACTCTGATGCTTAAATGGAAGTTGCAGAGCACATAATAGGATGTAGGTAAAGTTACTGACCTACCACATCTCACTTTCAGGAAAGTAGTGGGAGAGATTGTGTCTTGAGAAGAAAGGCATTTTTAGAGGTAACCCTTTTAAGATTTCAATTAGTTATTTAAATGTATGAATCATGTGTTTAAATGTATTACTACTTAAATGTTTGTTTCTGAGGCTAGCTAGTTTATAGGAATCCTAACCAGCTACAGGGAGATGTTTTGTTTTTCTTGGACTGGACCTATTTTTAAAAGAACTGGGGTAAAAATGTTTTAGGTTTCTGGTATTTAATCACAGGATTTGGAGAAAGTTTTAGGACTTTGTATGAATAATGTGATGATTAACTGCAAAAGAATAGGCAATGATAATGTTCTGGTTCCTATAATGGTAATTTAGTAACATATGACAAGATATAGTAAAGATGTTTCACATTTGCAATGGTTCACTATGGATAATTAGATATGTAGAGATTTATTT